GAGAGAGAGAGAGAGAGAGAGAGAGAGAGAGAGAGAGAGAGAGAGAGAGAGAGAGAGAGAGAGAATAGAGAGTACAACAATACAAGCCGTTGTGCCCGGTTAGCCCTGCGGCATCTCACCAACAGCTCGATTCCATCAAAAAACCTTTCGTTATTGAATGAATGAAAGAGCGCACGCAGGTGTGCGTCATGAAGCTCACAACATAGTGTGATAGAAATCGCATCCGGGATGCGTCGTAAAGACCTAGACTACTGATGGAGGTCGCAGCGTCCGACTACCCCCATCCTGGCGAAGTGCCCGACTAGTTTCTGCTGGCGCTAGACCAGCGTCGTTAGGGGCAAAGTGCGAAAGGTGATGTGCCGAACTGTGCTGTGTCGGTCCTATAAATACTTCTTCGCTCGCGTGTCCGAGCCGTAGTTACYGCCTGAGCCCCGAAAAAAGTCGTGTCTAGTCCTTAAATCCTTGTTCGCAGTTCCCGCCTAAATTCCGAGAAAAWTTTGCTAAGTCATCGAAAGATAATAAAATAACGATAAAAATAATAACGATAAAATAAATCTGAACTCCGTTCCTGCGATGCGCGTGGGCGCGTTTCCACGCGGGTCCAGGTGCCTTGAGCGCCAATCGTTGCTCCGTACCACCCAGTTCGAAAATGGCCATCTGTCCTTCAAATTYGAATTCAAAAAAAACTCTGTCTCTACTCGTAATCAACCCACTCGMACAAGACCTCGGTCCATCTTTGCCACGCGTCGTCCTTTCGTTTCGAATATTTCTTGAGCCCGTCGTCGAAGGCGCGGGCGGGAAAACCTCTTTTCCGTAACTCTATTTTCGTTGCGAGGAGGGCGGGTCCCGCCGTGGACTTGTCAAGGTTGTGGTCCCATATCCTGCTTAAACACCCTGTGATGACCGCCCTCTTGGTACTTCTGGCGGTGTATGATCTGTAATCTTGCAGTCCCTGGAACACTAGTGGGCCACCGCTGAGAAGACTCTGGTGGTGGCCCGATGGACACCGCATCAGATGTTAACCTTATCAGAACAGATACTACACTTGATCTTAGCGAAAAGGCCGGGAAAGGTATAGTAACTATAGTTGCCTTTTTCCGTCAGTAGAGAGAGAGAGAGAGACAGACAGAGACTCACACACACACACACACACACACACACACACACA